GTCTAAAAATGATTTTCTTTTCGGTCGTAGTCAAATCTTCGCTCTTGAAATGATTTCTTTTTCTTGTCGTTATATTCCCTTGTCACAGGGTAATGTGATGGGTTTACTACTTTTCAGATACAAGATCGTGCCCTCAAGATGGCCACAGCGGTGTCTAGAAGGGTACCCTCTGCAAGTGAACAACTGCAGGCTAGAATGGCTTCATTAGCTAAGGAAAAGTCAATTTCTCCAACTTTTAGCTCTGCGGTATGTTTGGCTCATTGATTTAGTCCTTCATAAGTTGTACAGTCTTGTCTAGCTGTCCAACATTGGAGTGAAACTGTTGAAATTCGTGAATTCTTCTGAATTGGTGCAAAATAGTACTCTTCTTGAAGCTCTGCTATTTAAAAAAAATTCCCATCATAATTTCAAGGACGTTTGCAAAAGTCATACTTGTTGGTATTTGTAATAATGTCATTCAGAAACCAATTACACTGGAACAGATGTATGGCCATCGGCGTCCAAATGTAGTGGGCTCGATTGCTANTCATTCAGAAACCAATTACACTGGAACAGATGTATGGCCATCGGCGTCCAAATGTAGTGGGCTCGATTGCTAAAGGAGAGACCAGAACAGCTAGGACCAACATAGTCTCGGTACTGTTGTTACTGACTGTGTTTTACTGCTGAAATTTCTACTGAGTATGAAATTTTTGTCGTAGAGTGGCCAAGCAGTTGCGACTCCGAAGCTACGAGATCCAACAAATAGCAAAATACCTTTCTCACTACGAGTGAGTTTTCTGAACAAAATTTTCTCGCAGTACCTGGAAGTTTGTCCGGAAGTGGAAGCAGTCAGAAATGTAAGTTCATTGTTCTCTTTATGGTTTTTTTTTTGATAGCATAGGTTTTTTATTGAATTGCTCAAGAAAGATGATTTGATCCCTAGTATATGAATTCCCTTGTTAACCGTTTAACTAGGAGTTCATAATTGTGAGAAAGTGTTTGTTATGACGAAGTCCAAGTTGCCACGTGAGGCTTGTTATTATTCATACCTTCTCCAAACACACCTTTTTGCACGCTCTTTCGTTTGCCATTCCAATTTAGTCATCATTTGGATCCAATTAACACGTGCTACTGTTGACTCGGCGGTGACAGCTTTATCATTTGGTCGTCCCGGTGAGCATAACTTCAAACTTCCAATCATTGGCTGAAAGAGAACGGGACGAAGTGATTTATCAAACTTTGTTCTTTACGCCCTGCACCGCTAGATTTTCACGAAATTTTCAATTTAGGGGGCTATGATGGTTGGAGTATGCCTCAACACAGCTGATGTAGTCGCAACACAGTGTCAGTTATCGTGGTGGCTGTCATCGCTGTCTTTTCTGGAACAGTTAGCTTTTTTGGGGAGATATCCAGTTAGGAGCTGGCAAGCCTGTTCTAGTTTTGAAGGTTTTACCATAATCTTCGAGAAGATTTTAGCGTACAACAAGGAGGGGGACCACCCCTCCCAAAAGGCCATCAACAGTTATTAATATATGTCCTGTTTTCGAAAAGAACTGTTCGAGTGT